CTATGGTGCTGTCATGACAACGATGTGGCCAGTACAGTGACTTGAACCATGGTGCTGTCATATGCTTAGCACGATGTGAAACAAGAAAACAAAGAAACATGGTTGTGCACAAACCACTACGCCCATCTATCATTTCCCATTCATGCGCACTCTTATTAGCAGACAACACTGTGTCATTTGCTGCTCCTCATCAACTGGATCCATTATGTTTGTTTGTTCAACATGAACTTTAACGTTTAGGTCTACATGTACTGACGTACATGTAGCGTTATGCTTTGGAAAACCCTATAACTACACTGCCAAGGACAAAATGTTCGTTATCATTCCATAATGTTAACATGACTACATGCAAGCGCTTCATGTCCTGTTCCAATATTATTGAGACACCAGCAACAGTTTCCAAAATAGTTAGAGAAAGAAATTTGTGGTGAGTGGACACAGAAATTTCCAAATATGTATCTATACACTGTATGCTCTGTGAGACTAGACTAACATTTGTTGGACATGATTTGTGAATCTATGGAATCACTCAACTGCACAGTGCTAGTGGTCTATCTTGTATGAAATCCGTTGATCAGATCTAGCCATTGTTAGTTGACCAACTTTTCTAAAAGCCCTAGAACATACTGACGTAATGCACTATTTACCACAATGCCCTGTGGGTGAAAAGGGGGGGGGTCAAAAATCAAAGATGGCGGACACAATCGTCAGTCATGTGGGCCTTTACATGACATTAAACAGAGCAAACTTGTGGTATCGTGGAAGCTTTGGAAAAATGCAGCTCTGGCTTTCGCCATGTGCTTGATAAACACAATGGCACACAACAATTAACACAAACCATTTGGGAAAATATTGGCCTTCTCAATCTCAGGAACTTATTGACAATGTTCCATGCGCATGATGTTCTAGCATTAGCACACATACATGTACTGTCATCCCCACCTTTCACCCATGATGCACCATGGCAAACACTACGTTATGTCATGTTTTAGGTCTATTAACAGATGTGGTTCCAACACTTTCTTGAAAGAGCATTTCACATGCAAGTTGGAGATTCCAACCAGGATTGATTGGAAACACATCAAAGTTAACCAACAGCGCTCACAGATCCACTAACCGCACTCAACACATTCGCCAGTACTGAACGCATAAGCCTACATAATGTGTGTGCATTGTATGTGTACTTCAAGATCATTTCAAACTCAAAGTACATATGACAGCTGCCAGTGCATGTGGTTCAGGTTTAATTGCTCTCCTTATTCCATCTGCGAATGCAAGAATTCAGATTTTCCCCCAATGTTAATTTTAATGGAAGTAGAGAATAGATTGCAAATGTCTTTGCCTAAAAGTTAAGGGATACATCTCCGTTTGACCATTCTTGGAGGTGGGCGGATTTCTAACATCTTGCAGTCTGTCATGTCGTGCATCCCTATGATATCAGCTTAAAGGTCATGACTGCTCTGCAATGAAAACAAGTAAAGATACTATCCCCCGGCCTCTGAAAACAGTTGAACCAAGATGCAGAGCAAGCTTGGCCACTGGCCGACCCAACGCATGTGCAATGTGATCAACACAAATTGATTGAATAGTAGGACCATTCGACCATTTTTGGTGACGGAGGAATAGCATTTTTACTTGTTTTCATTGCGCAACTGTCATGACCTGTAAGCTAATACATCAGGATGTACAACATGTCCTGCGCTGTGTAGCTTTGACTTGTGGCTTGTGTGAACACAATGAATGCACTGAAAAAACAGCCGTTTGGTATTTTCATAGCTTAAGTTGTGGGTCGTTGTAGTGCAGCACAACAGGCATTGGACAAGTAAGTGTATGGTGTGCGCGCCACACGCCAAGTATATCTGGCAATGATTTCACACCTGATCCCAAACACTGCATGTATTTTGGTTCGCTTTTGTAATTTAACAATGTCACACTCTAGACGCCTCAACGCTGTCTGGTTCCCAGACCAAACAAATCCTGACTGTGTTTATTACAAGTCAAATGATCAGGAATTAATCACTCTTATGGCTGGTTGTCACTACTAGTAGTCCTAGTAGTAAACAAATGGCCATTTTGAGAAAACCAAACATACCAAAGACTCAAAATTTCACATTAAGAGACAGAAATAAACTGAAAATTACCGGTATTGACACTGATACTAGCAGACTAGGCTTGATTAATGTGATCGGGTGGGTTGAGCCGTAAAAGAAAAATTGGGCTCATACTAGGCCCTAATTAGTAATTAGGCCTACTATAGGAAGCGTTTTCGCATAGTCTCCACTTTTTGGGTGGGCCGATGGGCCAAGATACGGAGTAGTACAGTAGACTGGCCCCAGTGTGGGGTAGTCCCATGGTCCTAGCCAGTTCGAACTCAAAGTATGTGTCCGGAATCTGGGCATGCTCAACAACCAGCGAAAACCCAAACGCCAGGAAGTCAAATCTTCAACAAACACAACCCTCAAAAAGACCGTAAATACAGAAATACAAACGAAAATATCACCTCTAGCATTTTAAAATTGCTATGTGAGAATAACAAGTTATTTTACCCGCTAGGACTGCGTTTTTGGTCCATGATATGGCCACGCAAATTTTCGACGCCTACATGGAGCTCGGAGACCTGCAGAGAGTGTCTGAGCTAGTACGAGGGCCTCGATTCGACGAAGCAAGTGATAGAAATAAATTGGATCCGGACGCCTATTTATCTCCGCGTTTGCTCAGTTTGGGTTTCTGATTGTACAAAAATAATAATTTGAATACAATGAAATCTATTTTAAATAGAATGATTTTAACCACAAAAACGAAAGGAAGGAAATTTATTTATTCTATTAACACGTCCTGCAAGGCTTTCGTACATATCTGTCGCGCCAAATGGGCAAAAAGCGCCCCTGGTATATCAGAATTTCGTTCCCGCCCCTTAAATAGGGCCGGCCGGCCGGCACTGACCAGAATTTAAAAAGAACAAAACACCCGTATTTCCCAAGTGAAATCACAGAGCAATCAATTTGAGGCCTCAACTCTGCCAAATTAATTATTTTGTAACATCCTTGACAAGCCGTTGGTTGAATCATGAGCATTATATAATATATATAAAAGGAGTTCATGGTCAATAGTGTCCGCTGTGAAGTACAGGAAACGGAAAATGCACCACTTCTTCGGTTGGGACTGATCTCCGAAGTTATTACGCGGTTAAACTTCTTTTTCTCGCTAAACCCTGTATTCCTCTCCTTCCATTTTTATTTTTCCCCTCTTTCTCTGATTATTGCTCGGTAAGCAATCTTCATTTTTGTAAACAGAATTTGCACTTGTTTTTTTTTTACTTCATCTCAAGTTGGTCTATTTACACATGTATGTTTGTTTTATTCAAGTTTGTTGTAATACATGTAAATGCAGGAACGAATGAATTTCTTTTTTTTTTAATGATCCACAGTCCGCTTCCACTTTTATCGGAAAGAATTCCTCAACGGACGCCACTAATTTTTCCCTACTGTTATACCATCTGAAAGGAGTAACATTACCTAAAAGTCAAATCTGGCTGGGAAAATATAAGTACTCACATAGAAAACAGAACTTTCAAACCAATCACAGCAGGTTTGTGCACAGGTGTCAAGCGGCATTCGTATATGGAGCTCTTTCCATTTTATCTTTTACAAATGTCCAAATTTACTCACATTGTGTAAATGATTTACTTATTTCTTTGATGTGTTGAGATTTGCATGTTAAATTCAAAAGGATTCACCTTTCAGGATTGCAAAAGGTACATATACTGAACAGTTGCCACACATTTTACACATCTCGCTGTAAAACTTCTGGTTTTATTATACCCATGTCTATCATACATACACCTCTTGAATCGTACCATACACCCCTTAAATCTTACCATACATCCCTTGAATCTTACCATGCACCTCTGGAATATAACCAAACACCCTTTGAATCTTACCATGCACCCCTTGAATCTTACCATAC